GTCGTTTTCATTGTGGATGCAGTGTTCGTTCACACTAATCTGATAGAAAATGGCTCCAGAGACGGAACGATCTGGTGCCTCCAGCTCCCACGACTTCATCTGAGTACAGATCTGATCCGGCACTGTGTGGACGCCTGAAAACACTGATGTAGGAGCTCTAGTTGTGTCCTTACTGGACCACATCACGGTGACTTGCGCCTTCCTGATTCTCGTCAGTCATGTGACGCTATTGTGGAAAATAGTTTAAACAAACCAGAGACATACGGGAAACAGCGGAGCTAGAACTACCGTATTTTCCGGGCTATTAGGCGCTCTAGATTATAAGGCGCTAGGGATGGGCATGATTAGTCGATTAATCGATAATTGATCATTAAGAATTTCATCAATTACGTTAATTTTAATCGAACAAACCGAATGTAGGTTGCTGAGTGTAGTGTGACCAAACAGGGTCTGTACATGTGTCTCTCTGCACTCAGATGGAGCGAGACACAAACAGTGGGTCAGTCTGCAACGTGCCAAAGCACAAATGTGTATTTAACGATGACTTGTACAAGAAATTCCACGCTTTCTGTTGTGTTCGGGACAAGTGTGAGTCCATGTGCACAGTGTATAAAGCAGCACATATGTTTCTGTGTCCAGTGGGAAAAAGTTTTACCAGGTGAGAGTCGCTCAATGTGGATGACGAGTCCCCACCTCCCTCCCCCCGTACGGTGTCCTGGTTTTGACAAACGCAAATATGGTCACACTAACCTGTATTCACCTGAGTCATGTCTTTTAATCTGACAGAAATTGAACCACATCAGCGACACAAGAGCTGTAGTTTTATCTTGGCTTAGTTTATGCAAATTAGCGATGCGGTTTTAAGTTCCGTTTCTGTGAGAGTTGAGCAAAACTGAATTAAACTGATTATAATGTCAAACGGGCTGATGTGGCTCTAGAGTCGTTACGGTTTATATGTCGTAAAGTTGAATTTATTTGTGCAGATTAGTGCAGATAGTAATAATAATGATGATCATTTTAATATAAAAACGTTAATGATTAATCGATAATCGATTGTCAATTCTTCCGACGATCGATTAAGAAAATTTCATCGAATGCCCATCCGTATAAGGCGTCATTACATGGTCTATTTTTGAACTTTTTCCACAAATAAACCACACTGGACTTTAAATGAAACACAACAGTTGGATGGGTCAGTGGTTTTGTTTGTTTGTGGCGTTCACAGTGACTCTGGGCTTTGTTCAGTTGTGGCGTGTAGGTAGGATGTATTACAATAAACAAAAATATAAATTTATTCAGATATTTTTCCAAACTCAATATTATTAATTTAACACATTTTAGTTCAGGAGTCTAAATTGTGGATGCGGCAGGACAGGGCCGCACCTTAAGATGTCGACTTGAGCAGACGTGAGTGAAGACGCTGCACCCAAACTTTGAAAATTTTTTGAAAAGGAACTTACTTGACTTCATCTTCAATTAAACTTGCCTTATAATTGCCTTATTATAATGAATCGCAGCAGAAAAAGCGCGACTATCACCACAAGTGCTCCTCCCAAACGGAGCCCTACTCGTGCTCTGTGAGAGCCCGACTCTACTGACAATATTCCATGAAAAATGTACAGACATGACCTCACAAAATTCTCATCACCAACAAGCAAAGAGAAATCTGCTACAAACTTCTACATCGCTGTATCCACTAAACAATCATCTTAGAAGGACAATGGACACATACTGAAAAACGAAACCACCTCTCACTTATTTTGGACTTGGGGATGGGGTTTTAGCTGATAATGTCCGCACCAAAGCTGAGACCAAACCTACGTCCTTGTTTAAAAGTGATCAGCAAAACCTTAAAATCGATTGTAAAACACACAGGCCCAGTGAAGGGAAGTAAAACAGGGGTCGTGTATTGATGTTTGATTAAAGCCAGTGAAGAGTCGAGCTGCTGTGTTCTGCACCAGTCAGAGGCGGGAGGAGATGGATTTGGAGTCAAGGCCGGAGAGGAGGGAGCTGCAGTGGTCTAGACGGGAAATGATTCAAGTGAAGGCGTATGTAATTTACCAACACAGTGGAGCACTTCCTGTATTAATGCATGACATCACAAGGTGGAACAGGGTGTTTTAGTTTGAGAGAAGAAGAAGCCTGAATCTGCAAGGTCGGTGTTAAACGCATGAATGAAACAAAACTCAACTCCAGTTCTGTTTTTACCCTTTAACTACTGTTTAAAGCGACAATATGGAGCTGCTGTTTGTCTCCAGGTTATTGCTTTGCTTGAAATATTCCAAAGTACGGCATTAAACGACAGTATGCTGCAATTATTAAGTCACACGTGTTTTTATTTCTGATGAAAATACCTTGAAAACATGAATTCTTACAGTGGTCAATTCTCCACAGATCTGACTGACCTGTACCTTGTCTTGTCTCCACGACGATAATGTCTTACTGTGGAACATTCCAGGCAAAACAACAGCATCTCCATAGAGACAAGCAGGTGGCAAACGCTCCACCAGAAAAATTACTTTAGCTTTAACCAGAGAAGTCCCACTGAAACTCAGAATCTCATAAACGTGGACGTCCAAACCACAAAGCAGAACCTAAAGCTCAAAAGAGTCTGAGTGGCAAACGTCACCTCACAGCAAAAAGGTCAAAGGTTCAATTCCCAGGCTGGGTGGAGCTTTAATGTATTTTGCATGTTCTTTCTGTGTCTGGGTGGGTTTCCTCTAGGGCATCTGGGTTTCTTACATCAATGGGAAACTAAATATTACAGATTTATTATTACCATTTATATATATATATATATATATATATATATATATATATATATATATATATATATATATATATATATATTTATTTATTTTTTTTTCTTCATTATTATATTATTTTTTGTGTACCCGGGACAGTCCAAGTTTTGAGCCCTGTGTCCCCTGTCCCAGCAGATTTAACCAAAACCACTGATTTGTCCCAGTTTTATACAAGAAATGTCCCAGGTGTCCCTATTTTTGACCAATTTGATCGAAACCAGGACTAAACTAAGATTAAACCAGGACTACGTCAACTCTAACCCAGGACTAAAACAGGACGATCACAATTTTTTGACTAGTGTGATTTTCGTCAACAGTAAAGAGGAGCAAAAACTGTCATTTGTTTTGCCAAAATACAGAAATACGTGTTTGCGAATGACCATAAAGCAAAAAAGCAGCGACAGAAGCCCCTCAAATTTAGCCTGATTCATCAGCCGGTTTCATTTTGTGGAAACCGTCTGACCTCGGAGCATTAGGATTTGTTCGCTCGACAGTGGTTGGGTACATTTTTTATTTAACCAGTCGCTGCGGTTTGGTCGTGACGTATGTAATGCGCCAAATCCCGTAGGAAGAAGGACAATAAAGTCTTTCCCCTTGATGAAATTCACCAAACATTCTCTTTGTTCTGGCTTTAAATCTTCGATCTTGGGAATCGTTGCCAACACAGAATGTCTGTCTTCGTCTACATCCATCTCGTCGCTTTGTTTACTGTTGTGCTGTTCCACAAAAGGGACACAGACAGGCGCTTGAGTTTGACGTGATGGTTTCACAGTTCTTCGCTCATTTGCGGTCTACAACTTCCAGGGTTCTTCCAAACCGTCTAGGTTATTCCGATTCCTGACCTAGTCGCTGAAGAGAAATGAACTTGAGCGGAGGCACTAGGTGGTGGCAGCTTGTCTACCTCAGACTGTGACTGGAGGATGCACAATGTTACACGCTCTTTTCACAGTTTTATTTATACCAACCATCCCAACCCAGGTGAGTGTCCCAGTTTAGAACTTTGAAAATCTGGTCATCCTACATATATATATTGTGAGGTGTGAGTTACTGTGTCCAAATAATTTCCCTTGTGGATCAATAAAGTTTGTCTAAGGTGGGTCCCACTTTGGTCACCCACTGCCCCAGACCTGCAATAATAATTTCCTCATCACAAACAGAGCTGGAGTTGTGTTTTGTTTCATTCACACGTGTTAAAACGCACAAATCCTGCATATTTAGGTTTTAATGCAAGTATGCGCAATTAACTGAATTTTTATCGTGATTTCAATTTGTGTGTCAAACGATCTCCAATATCATAACATATATAATCAAGTTGAAACAATTTAAAGCTTAACTAAGTTTATTTTGGTATATTTTTTAATATAAATAAGTATATTTATTTTTATTTTTTTGAATATAGAGATGTAGATCAGCTGGATATGGTTTATTTTGGATACATTGATGTTTTTCTGTGCCTTATTTCATGTTCAAAGTATATTTTAATCATTTTATGGTTTATACATTGCTAAACTGTTCTAATTTGTAGCCTGTATTTATTTTCAGTTTTAAAGTTTTGCGTAAATTATGAATAACAAAGTGTATGTTTTTTTTTTTTGTTTTTTTTTTTTGAGAAATGCTGAATAAATGCACTGTGTAACTAAAATAAATAACTAAATTGAATAATCGTGATTTCAGTATTGACCAAAATAATCGTGATAATGCTTTTTTCCATAATCCAGCAGCCCTACTTTATTTAGAGTCCACTTTGTGATGTCATGCGGTAACACAGGAAGCGCTCCACTGTGTTTTTAAACTCCATACACCTGCGCTACAGTCATTTGGATGATTTCGGCCCTGAAATCGCCAATCTCTACTAAACTAAAGGTAGCTGTTGACTTGAAAACTACTACTTCATGACATCACAAGGTGCAACAGAGCATTCTGAGCTCTGGAAATGCACAGATTAGTGTTAAAATGTTACTCAAACATGTGTGAATGAAACAAAACACAACTCCAGGTCTGTTTTTGAGGAGGTAACATGGCTTAAATCTCAATTTTTAGTCAGTTTTGTGTAATGTAAGACATTTAAAACTATCAACCAGTCAAGTGAGCGCAACCTATTTGCTATGGCGTTTTATCCACTCTTAACTGCACATTCAGCATTGCCTTTTTGGAGATTTGCAACAACTTCCCTGCATGCACACACTGTTTACGTACCTTTCCGAGCGCACGTCAGCCAAAACGTCAAATCAACAGCCTCGGCGTCGTTCTGGAATCGTACGGGAGCTTTTATTTATGCCAGTTTTGCGTCGNAAAACAAACCTATGGTCTGAAAAAAGAACCTAGTAACATAAGTTATCGGAAGACCAAATGAACCTCATTGGACTAAAAAAAAAAAGTTTTCCCATTTTATTTTTTTTTTTTTCGTTTTTAATTGAAATTCAAAAGAAAGAATGATACACGGACCCAGTAGATACTCAGGGATCGATAGTAAAAAAAAAAAAAAAAAAGTCACATTCACAGGACACAGAAATGAAACCTTTCCTGAATATCTTTAGAACGATCTTAAAGGTTGTATGGAGGATTTTTTTTAGTTTCAAACTGTCAGTGAAAGATTAAAAATACCATTACAGAGACGCAGCAGCTTTGTAATTATGATGACCAAAAAAAAAAAAAGAACGAAAAACCATCAACTGTGGACGTGTTGAGGCCAGATAAACATCAGCCAATAGAAAACGAGGCTCCCTCATTTTCTATTGGCTGTTAGGTTGTCAATCAAACTCCCTAGTGTAAACTGACTCGTCAGAGCGCGGGGATTACGTGGTTTACGTAGCGGTTCTTAGAGGCTTTTTTCGAACTGTCGCTTCCTCGCATTTCGCACAAAGTTTGTCGCGATGTCGGACGAGAATCCACGACCGGTTTTGCCCCAAAAGAAAGTCCGTTTTTGAGGTCGCTGAAAGAAGAAGAGAAGAGGAAAAGGAGCAAAGCCAAACTGAGGTGATTCTTGGAGATCTCGTCCAGCGATGGCGCGACCGAAGCAGACGAAGGGTCTAAAAACTGACGCGTCGGTCGCTGAATTACTTCTAGACAGGAAACTTCAACAGTAATTCTGAACGCGCACAAGGACTGTCGCTGTATTTCTCTTCCCTTAAAAAAATCCTCTATACAACCTTTAAGATGTATCAGAACAAGTATAAGAGCACATAGACTAGTATACGCCCATGGACCACTGAGGGAGATTACACAGATATAATTACTATGATTTAATGTTGAAAACCACATTCTATTGTAGGAATTCTGTTTTTGATTTATTGTGGTATCAGAATGGGCATTGTGTATCAAGTCTACTCATTAGTGAAATGTTTAGTATCGTGACCACACTAATCCTGCGTGTATGAGTCAGAGTCTGAACTGTTGGATAATTGTTCAAATATAATCACAGAGCAAAGGGTGGAGAGAGATTTGTGGGATTCAAACACCCCTGAATCAACTGCAATATAAGTTTGATAAAGCTAACGTACATAACATATGAACATTCACGACTAGGGCAGTACAGTAAATATGTTGCTTATGGGCAGTGTCGGGGAGTAACAGATTACATGTACCGGAGTTACACAATCAGAGTACAAATTATGAGTAACTGTATTCAGTTACAGTTACTGTTTCAGTGAGTGGTAATTGGATTACAGATACTTTAATTGAAATAAATGGATTACATGGTGGTAATGTTCCTGTTTCACATTTTGGGGCTAAACCAGACTAAAACCAGGACTAAACTAGGAACTAGGAACTAAAACCAGGAAACTAAACTAGACTAAACCAGGACTAAATCAGGCCTAAACCAGGACTAAACTAGGACTAAAAACCAGGCCTAAAAACCAGGACTAAAACTAGGACTAAAACCTTAGGACTAAACTAAGGACTAAAACTAGGACTAAAAACCTAGGACTAAAGGACTAAACTAGGACTAAAACCAGGACTAAACCAGGACTAAACTAGGACTAAAACCAGGACTAAACCAGGAAAAACTAAAACCTAAAACAGGACTAAACCAGGATTAAACAGGCCTAAACTAGGACTTTAAAACCAGACTAAACAGGACTAAACCGGGCTAAAACTAGACTAAACTAGGACTAAAAGGAAACCAGGACTAAACTAGGACTAAAAAACAGGACTAAACCAGACTAAACTAGGACTAAAACCAGGACTAAACCAGAACTAAACTAGGACTAAACCAGGACTAAACCAGGTCTAAACTAGAACTAAAACTGGGTCTAAACTAGGACTAAACCAGGTCTAAACAGTATGACACCTAACAGTAGGTGGACATAATTTAATTTTATCTCATATAGAATGTTTGGTGAATTGTATCAAGGGGAAAGACGTTATTGTCCTTCTTCCTACGGGATTTGGGAAAACCTTAATATACCAGTTAACCCCGTTTGCATACGTCACGTCCAAATGCCAGCGATTGGTTAAATAAAAAAAGTACCAGCCTACTGTCTAGCGAACGAATCCTAATGCTGCGAGGTCAGACGGTTTCTACCAAGTGAAACCGGCTGATGAATCAGGCTAGGCTTTGGTTACATGCACACTCAAAATCTGATTATGACGAGATTTTAGGCCATGTAAGAATATTAAATAACATGTAAACAACAAAATCAGCTCATTTCTTTCTGATCATCCACACATCAGATTTGTGGTGTGGATTCCATCTAAATAACGTTAAAAGTCCAAAAATCTGAATATAATCAGATTTCAGTTTACATGTGAACACAGCCGCTGAAGAGTATTACCAATTAACCAGCTGCGTGGGGAGTCTGTTGTCTCAGAAGTTAATCAGGTTTTAAAGGGGCTGAGCTGTTCACCCTTTAAGACCCAAAGCTTAAGATGCGACGGTCACATTTATGCAGCGCACCTGAGATCAGGGTTTACACACAGTCAGCAACATTATTATGCAAAAGAATTCATAAAACTAAAAATAACTAAAACAAAGACTAGAAGACGACGAACGGACCAGAAATCAGGTCTGGACTTGAACTAAACTGGGAGAAAACCGTCCTCTGCTCTCAAAGGTTTAGAATGTCCAGGAAAGTACTAAAAGGGAACTGGTTTTGGTCTAAATCAGGACTAAACTATGTCTGAACCAGGACTAAATAAGGACTAAACCAGGGACTAAACCAGGAACTAAACCAGGATAACAGGACTAAACCAGGAAACCAGGACTAAACCAGGGCTAAACAGGACTAAACCAGGATTAACCAGGACTAAATAAGGATTAACCCAGGACTAAACCAGGGCTAAACCAGGACTGAACCAGGACTAAACCAGGATTAAACCCGGATAAACCAGGGGCCAAACCAGGGCTAAATAAGGACTAAACCAGGTCTAAACCAGGATTAAACCAGGACTAAACTAGGGCAAAACCAGGACTGAACCAGGGCTAACCCAGGACTGAACCAGGACTAAAGCAGGACTAAACCAGGGCTAAACCAGTCCAGGACTAAACCAGGACTAAACCAGGACTAAACCAGGGCTAAACCAGGGCTAAACCAGGCTAAACCAGGACTAAAGCAGGACTAAATCAGTGCTAAACCAGGACTGAACCAGGACTGAACCAATCAATCAATCATCAATCAATCAATCAATCAAACTTTATTTATAAAGGCTTTCATACAAAAACGTAACACAAAGTGCTTTACAGTGATTAACAATCCCACATTTCATCCACCACCCACTTATCCAACCCCACACCTGCCCAACTACACAGATACACCCACTCGCAACATACGCACACACACAAGGACGCACGCGCACACACACACACACACACACACACACACACACACACGCACGCGCGCACACATAAATTGACTGAACCAGGACTAGACCAGGGCTAAACCAGGACTAAACCAGGACTAACCAGTGCTAAACCAGGACTTAACCAAGACTGAACCACTACTTAACCAGGACTAAACCAGGACTGAAACCTGACTTCTTATATAGTATCACAAGACAACGCGTGCAATCTCAACCAAGACTCAACTAGGACTAAACCAGGACTCAACCAGGGCTAAACCAGGACTAAACTAGGACCAAAACCAAGTCTCAACCAGTACATAAGGTAACCAGGACTGAAACAGGATTCCCCAGTATCACAAGACAAAAAAACAGATCAAAAACAAATCACTATGAACCAGGACTGAACCAGGACTGAACCAGGACTTTTTATATAGTATCACAAGACAAAGCCTGCATACTAAACAAAGACTCAAACTGGACTGAACCCGAGACTCAACCAGGACTGAAACAGGATTCCCCAGTATCACAAGACGAAACCAGATCAAAACAAATCACTATGAACTAGGACTGAACCAGGACTAAACCAGGACTCAACCAAAACTGAACCAGGACTGAAGAAGGATTGAACCAGGACTAAACCAGGACTGAACCAACTGTGCTGTAACTGTTTTCAGTGTTGGTTTTTTACCTTCTTCTTGTGTTGTAACTGGTTCACTTCAGTGTCCCAGGCCGCTGTGCCCTTGTCTGAATCACACGTGTACTCAAGGACTCCCTCCCTCTACTCCTCTCTCTCCTTCTATCTTTCTCTCTCCCTCCTTTCTCTCTCCTTCTCTGTCCTCTCTTTCCTTTTTTCTGTCTTTTTTTCCTCTTCCCCCTCTCCAACTTGCCTCCTCTCTCCTCCTCTCATTTCAATCTCTCTCCCGTCTTCTCTCTCTTTATCTGTCCCTCTCTCCTCCCTCTCCTCTCTCCTTTCTTCCTTCTCTCTCCTCAATCTTCCTCTCCTCTCTCCTTCCATCTTTCTCTCTCCTCTCTCTTTTTTATATCTTTCTTTCTCTTCCTCCTCTCTCCCCTCTCCTACTTGCCTCCTCTTTTCTCCTCTCATTTCAATCTCTCTCTCCCTCTTCTCTCTTCTCTCTCTCTCTCGTCTCTTTCCTCTCCTCCCCTTTATCCTTTGCTGCTTCTCTCCATCTCTCCTTACTCTTCCTCCTCTCTTCTCCTCCCTCCCTCCCTCCTCCTCACCTCTCTTTTTCTCTCCCTTTCTCTCTCCCTCTGTCCCCTCTATCTTTTCTCAATCTCTCTTCCCGCTCTCTTCTTTCTTCCCCTCTCTCTCTCTTCTCCTCTCTCCTTCTATCTTTCTCTCTCTCTGCTTTCTTTGTCTTTCTTTCTCTTTCCCCTCTCTCCCCCTCTCCTACTTGCCTCCTCTTTCCTCCTCTCCTCTTCTATTTTCAATCTCTCTTTCCCTCCTCTCTCTTTCTCTCTCTCTCTCTCTTCTCCTTTCTC